CATACCTATTTTTTCACTACACGCTTACTTATCCTACTTGTTAACCTGTTATAATGCGCTAATGATGTGTCTATGGCACAAATATTGCTTAAGCACTACCCTAAATGTTGGTGCCGGTAATTGTTTAAGGTTTGAAGTGAGTTGAAAATATTTATTGATTGATGTAAAACATTCTTCCATCACTGGTAAAAGCGATTCTTCTAAAAATTGCCAAATATTTGTTTGTATCCACATTTCCATCAATAAAATGAAGTCTTCCTACTCCTTTTGATGACATACTGCCACAGACCATAATGGATGCTGGAAATTTCACTTTTCTCTTCAGACAGTAAACATGGAATGCTTAATTTTTTTGCGAATAACTCTACTGCGACTGTCACCAACACAAACGTCGAATCGGGCCTCATCACTCCATTGTATTGCACACCATTGTTGAGGAGTACATTGTGTATGGTCTTTAGCCCTTCTAAGCCGATTTTTCTTTTGCAGTGGCTTTTCTTTGGCCTATAAACAAGTTGTGTAACTTTAGGGTTTTTACTTCACTTTTTTATAAGAAAACTTACCTTGCAAGTGCTAAATCCCAGTTTGTGGGCCTCTCTATGAGTTGTGGACCTCGAAATTCTCCTTCCACCAGCGTCACTCCACGGAGCACTTAATAATAATTGGCACGCCTGTTTTCCCGATTATTCTTCTTAATGCTCTTCGGTCGGCATTTGTGATATTACTTTTTTTCACATATCGTGGCTTAATATTAACTGATCCAGTTACGTTATATCTTCTAACAATATTTCTCACACTGTACCGCGATAAGTCTAACAAAGTTGCAAATTCTGAGTTTGGTTTCCCAGAACTAAAAAATTTAATTATCAGTAACCGAATTTTCTCACTAATAACCTTTCCTCTACCCAAGTTGAAAACCTTAACTACCCAAAACTATTTTAAACGTATTCTGACAGCTGTGATTTATAAAAACAATTGACATAGTTTTTATTTTTCACAGCCACCTATGCGTTATAGACTTATTTTGCATTGAAATGAAAATAGGTTGATATGCTGTAATTCCAACATGTGTGTTATTTTTATGCTGCAAATTTGATTAGGGAGTGATAAAGTTGGTGTTTTCGACTATATATTCATTGTTAATATTTTAAACCTATAACACCCTGCTACATTTTTATTATTTGTGTTTGATAAGAAAAAACTAAGATTTCAATAGTTGGGCCAACTGAAGTGGGAAGGAGCTCGTAGTTCTCTCTCATGTTTAGATTATGAGGGTTTGACCTAAAATGTATTTTGTCCTTAAGGTATACGGGACAATCATTAATCAATTCATGTACAAAGATGTTGGAATGCTTCTGGAATGTTTAACCAATTCAAGTCCTTTAATAATTTCTCACTAGTGTGTATAAAATAGCAGTAACTGGCTCTAGATTTTAACTACTTACTTACTTAAAGGTCACAAACATCATTAATCTAAATTTGGACTAAGCGAAGAACATTATTAAAACACCTCTGAATAATACGATCACAAAAAAATGATGGTAAAAATAGTAATATGCTCAATACGGTGTACATGAAAACAATAATAATGGCATATTTCGACTGCAGCAAATGGAACGTCGTACCCTCTTGATTATTCAGATGGGTTTCAAAATTTAAACAGCAAGCAGTTCAAAAATCGGATTAACAAAATTTCTTTGAGATCCTCATAGCAGCCGCGGTGTCCCGGCATTTAGGCTTCTGCCGGCGCGGATGCTTCGGTATAAAAAAAAGCTGATGACACAGAGCCTCTTCGATCTTGCCAAAAAAAAAGAAGTGTCGAATGATACACCACAAGCTTTAACTTTGATAGTATACGATGGTAAGGTCTTAGTCATAATAGATAATTGTAAGGTATTTGATTTGAAATAGGAAAATGAATTTCATCCGTTTTCGGTAATGTGTATCCGAATTTTTGACAGGTTTCCAAGTATCCACTCTGAAAACAACCTGTATAACGTTTAACCAACACAACTTCACAGCAAGAAATGACTAGATCGTTTTGCCGTTACCCAATCAAGCATTTATGGGATTCATAGTCCCCTCCCGCACCCCTCCCTAACGTAAAAGGGTTCATCCACCCTCATCACACGCGTGTCCTCCCTTTCTGCGGCATCATCCTAAATCGTAGTAAGCCCTTCCCGGAATCCTCGAAACCCTTTATGCGTAACTAATTAAAGCTAGGGCCACAAAGCTGTGCACAAAGCTTCGCTTCTGCGAATCCCCAGCGTGCACTTGCCCTCTCACGTGCCTGCGGGTAGAAAAATAGAAGAAAACTAACTCTCATAGGTCAGTAGAATTTTATATGGTAGTGTCGGACCGAAATTAGTTTTTTAACCGAAACCATTAATTGATGCATTCTACCTCAAGATAGCCAACCATAAACTGTATTCCGGCGTCCAACAAGGAATCTGAGGGACACGAGCGCCATCTATGGGTCAGTAGCGGAACATAAATTTAGAAATCCTGGAGTTATAACGTTTGGTTCTATTTTCTAGGATCTTCGATCTCTTTCACTTTCCACGCCTACTGGCGAGGAAGTATTGCAGTCGCGAAAAATTTCTAAAATGAAATGTTTTTTGGATGTTATATGACTTGTACATGACGAAAAACGATGTTAATGATTTCCGTTGGTCTGTCTGTCCGCTAATCCTTGGTCCGTCTATAATTTGGAAAGTACCACTTGAATATTGATGAAATTTTCACACAAGGTTACTACTATGAAAAGGACGACACAGCTTCAAAGTTTTTTAAAATCGATTCGGTGGCGGAGGCGTGAAGGGCAAAAAACCAAATTCATAAAAATCGTCGTCGTTATTTTGGCGCCTTAGAGTTCATTTTCTGAAAAAAATTGCAGAGGTCAAAATCAAGGGTTGGAGTTGTAGGGGTGAGGGGAGCATATTTCTTTTTTTAACGGCAATATGTTAATGCGGTTCCAACCTCGATCCTTTTACTTATATATGCTACGTATTTCACACATAAAAGGCTGCATCATACAATTACATTTGCCCTTCTTGCATGGCAGACGTTCTCTATCTGGAGTTATGGTATCGTGGCTGGCATGGTTGACTTGTGTGGTTCAGTGCTGTGGCCAGACCGTCGATACATAGGACAGCGAAGAAACTAGCGTTAAATGGGTGAGGACTCTCGAGTATGAAGTAATAGTGTGGGCCAGTTTGGCAATTTTTTGTTATACATGTTTGTATCTAGCTCAGAAGGTCTAAGTGGGCCTGGGACTGGGTATTTTCAGGCGGAATACGTTAATCATTTGACGATACACAATAAAAAAGGATTAGATAGGCGTCAAAAAATATATTCAAGATCCTAACGCTACGAGAGAGTAGCTCTTTTCAAAATAGATTTCTAAATTCATTTTTGTGTTCTGTTACTATTTCATAGGTGGCCCCAGTATCTCTCAGATCCCTCTTTGGACGCTGGGTTCCCAGATGACTATTTTTTTTGTAAAACATCTTTATTCAGAATAACTTAATATTTAAACTGGCAATTTTAACAACAATAAATTCAACAATTGTGGTGACTTTTTGGATTTTAAGACAGAACCCATTCAAGACGAAACAAAAATTTCGGTCTCAGCTTCTTACTGGGAAATATAATATTTTTATAGAAGCAATGAGTTGATAAGCTAATAGTTTAAATTTTTGAAACCGTCTTCCATTTAATTCGGGAGGTTACGTAGTAAAAACAGTTTCATTTTTCATCGGCTCCGTATAACAAACGAAATGAAAAACGCCAACTGTTAAAAAAACTGGAAATACAAAATTTGTTCACACTTTCTTTTATCGATCTCTGCCAGATGCGGACGATCGACTTTTTCTATGCTGTTGTTATAAGCGAACAAAACCTGTGGTAATGGAATGGAATGGAATGCTAGCTTCGACTATGACTGTGCTAAAGTGCCCTGAAGCTCTATTTGTAGTAGAAAACAGACTTCTGGGGTCCCCTACGATCTCAGCTAAAAACTGATCAAATTTACTTTAGTCAAAAAATGTGATTTTTTCGTTGTTCCAGATATCCAGAAATTTTATAAAATTTTCTTCCATAGACTGTATTTAAGCTTTCTTATACGTACAATGTATCTCCTATTGTTACAAGCGAACAAACCTCGGTGCATTGAGGTAATTCGGGGCGATAATTTTGAATATTACCTTCAAAAAATGCTAAGGTATCGGGAAGCCTTATGTGCAGATAACCAAGAGATTTAAAAAATAGCTCCAAGATGGCTTTAAATGTAGACCCATGCGCTCTATTCTATCTAAGAAAGCGTTACTCATTTCGGACTAATTCCCCAACACTTTTATGGCTGATAACCAAACAATTAGCCAAAGACGGACTTTGTGCATATGGTAATTTTTAATCAGGAAGTTTCAAAGGAAAGCCTAATAAAACTATCCAATTCCACTGAAACATTTTTCTCGTAAGGTTGATGCCATAGGAAGATAATGTACCACTCGAAAATTGGTATTCCCCCAAATACTCGTACATAGCTCAGAACTATGAAACCTTGTACAGCAGAGGTTCTCAGACTTATTTCGTCTACTGCCCACTGCTGCGCCAATGCTTCTGAGAACGAATACCTTTATGACAAATAAAAAGTGGGGGACAAAAATTATCTATTGCGTCGACTAACCCCTCCCCCCATTAATTCATCGCCACCCAATTTCCTATAGGCCCTCTCGCGCCCTTACGTAGGTCACCAGCGCACCGCAAGGGGGCATTACCGCCGACTTTGAGAAAGGCGGTTTTAGAGAGTCCTTTGTTGTCTATTTGTACTTGACATGACCTAGTTGAACTGTGCTATGGCGAAAATACCAGCTAAGCGAAAGGGTAGCTGTGTCGCTGACTAGCTTTAATCATTCCTTGTCACAAAGGGACTTCTTTTTTCGACAAGTGCCAAAGGAATCGATTTTTTCTCAAGTCTTGTATTTTATTTTATGTTCCAGGTCCCCCGCATTCGGTGGTTATTTCGTCTAGACAGAGGCCGTTTATTCGTTTTAAGCTTTATACAGAAGACGAACATACCAGTTCATCAGTTTTTGCAGTGTAGACGGGCGATTTTCATCAACATGCGAAACCAGAAATGCTTAATTTGAATTTCAAAGTAGCGCAATATCGAAGATATCTCCTGAAAAGTTACACAGATCAGCCGAGCTAGATTTACTTTTGGTTACATAGTAATTGACAAAAATGACATTAGTATTATATAAGTGACAGTCGGTGACCATCATCATATTTAGAATGGAAATTGACCTCTGAGGCTAAAAAACCAGTGTCGGACGCTTTTAATATATTTAAAAGTGTAAGATAAGCGCCAGCCATCAGCTGTAGAAGAATTACATCCATGAAGGTGACATCCATTAAAACCAACTGCATGTGATCAACACCTCCGCCTATGACGAGGTAATAAATATTAACGATAATGATCATTTTATTTGGATGCTTTGAAGGCATCTGCTTTGTTTATGTTATGTCAAGTGGCTAGAAAGATGGAAGGATGAGAGGTGCTGAAGACATGGTATTTCGAGTCGGCGGCTATTAATTATTGGTATTTCTAATAACTTGAAATATTCACATATTTTTTGGTCTGTAACATTCATTTTTTGAATTGACTCTTGAATCCCCAGAATATCTAGGTAGGTTCTAAGAACAAGGGCAGAATTTGTCTAAGATTTCAAATCATTTGCTGAAAGTGTGTGTCTCACTATTTTGTATGATATTCATAAAGGTTAGCTTGCTAATTCTGAAAAAATCGATCTTCCTAACGACCATCGATCAATATTTTATAATAGGTGACGTTGCACTTGTCGAGTATGATCGATTAGATTTTAAAAAAATATCGGTAACCCTTTCCTTCACCAATGTTGAATGACTCTAATATTCAGCTGAAACCTCAATATTTGTATTCAATAATCGCAATGCTAGTTTTGTAAAAATGAGCATTTACTTGGTTTTTACTTCTCACGTTACTGGCGAGGAAGTACTAAAATCGCAAACATTTCGAAATTGAGATATGATGTTTTTGAAGTGTTACATGGCATGTATACATCACGAAAATCATGTCACTCATTTTCGGCCCGTCTGTCGGTCTGTCTGCTAATACTTGCCCCGTCTATCACGTTCGGGTTATGTTGAAATTCTCAAACCCGGTTATTTTACGCTTTCACACATAGATTTCCCCGTATATTTGCCTCTACAACCTAGAGAAATATTTTCAACGGACACGTCGCGTGTCGGTCGCGGTCGCACAGCAACTTATATGCACAAAGTCCTATCTGCGCTTAACGCTCACAGCTGGCGCTTATGTCACGGCTTACTGGCGTGGTTCAGCAACGTTGCCAGATGGCCGATATATTCAGTAGGGCATGGAAGAAATTTTTAGCGTAATAAAATGAGTAAGGACTATGGACTAATTGTGTAGGCCTGTTTGTCTAACTTGATCCAATTAATTTTTTGGTATACATCATGTTCGTAGCTAACTTTTTCAGTCTACGTGACTCCATTTTTTATACAAATATAAACAAAGTAACTTAGGAGGAACTTGCACAACACATAGTGGTAACATTTTCGATACTTTTTATCGGAACTATGAACTTTTATTTTGGTAAGGTGAGAACTACTAAAAATCTTCAGATTATATACTTATTTGAACACAGGAATTGAATACACAGTTGCAGTATTTTATCCAGAAAGGCTTTTTGCGAACTGATATAGTTATCTTATCATTCAGGATGTAGTATAAAAACAAAATATTTGAACTTTTTTATGTTACTTATCTCTATACGAGCTCCTTCTCACTTCAGTTGGCCCAACTATTGAAATCTTAGTTTTTTTCTTATCAAACACAAATAATAAAAATATAGCAGGGTATTACAGGTTCAAAATATTAACAATGAATATTTTGATAATATATAGTAGAAAACACCAACTTTATCACGCATAAAAATAACACATGTTGCAATTACAGCATATCAACCTATTTTCATTTCAAGTCTATAACGCATAGGTGGCTGTGAAAAATAAAAGCCATGACAATTGTTTTTATTAATCACAGCTGTCAGAATACGTTTAAAATAGTTTTGGGTAGTTAAGGTTTTCAAAATGGGTAGAGGAAAGGTTGCTAGTCAGAAAATTCGGTTACTGATAGTTAAATTTTTTAATTCTGGGAAATCAAACTCAGAAATTGCAACTTGGATAGACTTATCGCGGTACAGTGTGAGAAATATTGTTAGAAGATATAACGTAACTGGTTCAGTTAATATTAAGCCACGATATGTGAAAAGTAATATCACAAATGCCGACCGAAGAGCATTAAGAGAAGAATAATCGTGAAAAACAGGCGTGCCAATTATTTACAATTAAGTGCTCTGTGGATTGACGCTGTTGGAAGGAGAATTTCGAGGTCCACAACTCATAGAGAGGCCCACCAACTCGGATTTAGCACTTGCAAGGTAATTTTTCTTATAAAAAAAAGTGAAGTGAAAACCCTAAAGTTGCAAAACTTGTTTATAGGCCAAAGAAAAGCCATTAGCAACTCTACTGCAAAAGAAAAATCGGCTTAGATGGGCTAAAGAACAGAGACAATGGACACCTCAACAATGGTGTGCAATACAATGGAGTGATGAGGCCTGATTCGAAGTTTGTGTTAGTGACAGTCGCAGTAGAGCTATTCGCAAAAAAATTAAGCATTCCATGTTGACTGTCTGAACAGAAAAGTGAAATTTCCAGCATTCATTATGGTCTGGGGCAGTATGTAGGAGTAGGAAAACTTCATTTTATTGATGGAAATGTGGATACAAACAAATATTTGGCAATTTAAAATCGCTTTTAACAGTGATGGAAGAATGTTTGACATCCGGCCAAGATTTTGTGTTTCAGCAAGATGGTGCAGCGTGCCATACCTCAAAAAAGGCTATACAATGGATGGAAGAAAATAATGTACCACTTTTGAAATGGGTTTCTAGCAGTCCAGATCTGTCACCTATTGAAACTGAGTGGCACGAGATGAAAAAGGTTCTACGACAACATCCTGCTCGTACAATCACCGAACTGAGACAAAAGCTACAAGAAATATGGGATTATTTTACATCAAATTTTTGACAAAACTTGGTTAACACTATGCCCCAAAGAATTTCAGCCGTAATAAAAAATAAAGGTGATGTTACCCAATGGTAATCGTTCAATTTTTGCTTTGTTAACTTCGCGCATTTATTCGCACATTGTTTATTTGTTCAGATGTTCTATTAGTTATAGGTCTAAGTGATTTCAAATATGTATTACGACTAGAGTGTATCTAAAATGTTTTTGAGAAAATAAATTGTTTTAGAAGTAAATAGTTTCGTCATGTTTAGTTTATAAAGGCATATTTTGGTACACGTCTTGAAGTAGGCCAACTGAAGTGGGAAGGGGCTCGTAATACCTTCCCAAGCGGATGCGAAGATACTTCCTGGGTTCCTGGATGAATAGTAGCACAAAATACTGATCAAAGGGGTTGACTGTTGCTAGAAGTCGCCTTTCCGGATGCTTTGATAATTAATCAATTTAAAAGTTCTATCGTACTTCCCGTGCTTCCTGTTGCTTTAGTATAAAAATCAATTTCTTCAAAGTCTGTAAACATTAAACTTACAACTCATACATTTCGCAGGATTTTTTTTCCTTCAATCCACGTGTCGGCTTAGCCAGTGACGTGAAATTAAACCAAAATATCTTGAATACGTCTTAACGAACCACGTTGAAAGCAAGGAACATGATGGGGCCTTTGAAACTCCTGGGAAAGATATTACAAGACGGTAACATTCTGAATTCTGAGGATATTCGTCAATTCGGTTCTCAAGAGAATACCCTAAACTTTGTCCGACAAAAAATACCGGTATATGACAACCTGTCGGATAAACTTACAGGTTCATATGTAAAAGTTCGATTTTTTAACCAGCCTTAAATTATTTATTCATGCTGCTGTATTATATGACAGATGTACTGCAGCTAGTATGAATATTTTAGTGGAAAAGTTGTCTGTCTTATTGAGATAGTAAAACATTTTTATGAGCTCAATAAACTGCGCACAAACCGGGAAGATACTTCTGAAAAGAGGGCGCAGAAACTCAGTTTTCGGTCAGTAATAAGAAGTCAAGGTGAAAAAATTTTAATATAAAGAGGAAATGGAGGATAACTTCTCAATTATGTATTCGAAACAAGGAAATATTTATTTAGACTAGTTTGAATAAAGTATTCTAACTGGAGAGAGCTAACCTAGTGCTATATTGCCGCGTCTAAAAAATTATTCGATATAAAATGGGGTACCGTACGAGCATATGCGCTGCCTATGTGGCACTAATGCTTCTGACAAATAATTAAAATTTTTTAAAACTGTCGAGTGAGTCATCAACTAGTAGGTACATTAATAAAAAAATACTTTCTTCATCAAAGCTCACCATTACAAAATTGTTCGTGTTGAGTTGGACGCTAGATAACTTTCTAAACATTGTTTGCTGTTTTATTAATATGATTCTGTTTTGTATGCTAATGGATTTATACTAGTCAACATGCAGCATCTGTAGTCGAAGATTGTTTAACAAATAACCGGTATTTTGCACCAACAATTTTGGGTGGGTATCGCATCATTTTCTGGACGATAGACGAAGATGACGTGTCTCGTACATTTAAAAAGATCGATAACCTTATGCTCACTTATCGCTGTGGGGGCGGGATGTCCTTTAGGAGCGAGAATGTACTTCCAAAGATCTTCAGCTTTGCTGGTTTTACTCGATGCCATCTCAAAATTTTAATGGCTTCGCATTGTCACAACACACTGTATAGTAGCGAATAATAGAAAAACAAATAAGCTGTCACATAGAAAACAGATACAACAAAATAACGTAACACCCTGAAGAGTGCAGCGTGTCACAGACAGCTAGCAATTTTGGTGTTTTTGAGGTCTGTGTCGTGTTGTCTAATTGTAGGTAAGGTATAGTTGTAGTCACCGTTCTTGGCGGTTACGTCAACAATGCCATATGAAATAAGTAAGCAGATCGAGTCTCCATACTACGGGCGAAATCTTCAGCGCATCTGCTACTCTCTCCAGTACGCATGAAGTGGGTAAACAGGGGTAATACGTTAGCACGAGCTGTCGGTCTTCTCCATTGATCGTATTTCTGGGCATTGCACAATTTTATATTGAAGATTGATAACATGACAACTCAAAATGCACTATACCCTCTCAGTTAGTTGTCAAGTTGAGTGTTTTCTCAGAGAGTTGTCATTTTTGTTCATGTCAATGTTTTTCATTGTCACTAACTTCGTAGAGTTCTTGAATCTTCTAGAAAGGGATCTTCACATGTTACTAGGGTATATAAAGGAGTTTGAAGTTCTTGTTGAGATTACGTAAATTTTGTATTTGAGCGAATAAAACATTAAAAAAATAGAAGCCGTTCGTGATAGTCTATTGACATCGTCAATTGTACTTGAAAAAGTGCACCGAAGTGA